TGGCTGGCATGTGGTGCTGGGGGATTGAACCGCGGTCCCTGTGCTTTGCCAAGCTTGTTCCAAGTAGGTGCTTTAGACCACTGAGCCATCTCTCCAGCCCGCGTAGGTTGGTCTTGACCTTGAGAAACTCCTGCCTCAGCCTCCCAGTGTGCTGGGATGAGGGGATTGAACTCAGGCCCTTGCACTTGCCAGGCAAGCGCTTATTCTACTGAGCTATCTCCCCAGCCCCCTAAGATTTTAAATCTGAGTAGAATTGGGCAGAATCTAGAGCAACCCTTTGGGGGAAACTGAGGCACAGAATGATGTGGACACTCCTCCATGGGGGAGAAGAAAGCTACGCTGAAGTCTGAGCGCCTTCCGTGCCCACCTGGCTGGCACACTTGTTGGTGCCCATCTGCAGGCTGATGGTGGAGTGATCCATGGGAGGCAGGATGTGGTTTTTGGGGTCATAGAGGTGCCGCCGGGTACCGTAGGCCGTCATGCCCGACTGGCTGGCGCACTTGTTGGTGCCCATCTGCAGAGGCATGGGAGGAATCAAGCTAGCCTGCCAGGCCCCAAAGCCCCCCTAGAAAGGCACCAGGGACCCATGTCACAGCAGGGTCACCTGCAGCCCGATGACACACTGGCCGGCCTTCATGGTGGCGTCATCAAAGTTCCGCTCCTGCTTCTCTGAGTACTTTACCCCGATGTCCACGCCGCTTTGCAGCCCCTTGGTCTTGGCCTGAAGTAAAGAGGGGTGAGGAGGGTGGGGGGCAGACAGGACCCTCAAGCCAGGCCTTGGTAGCCCGGCCTGGGGAGACCCATGGAGGGATGCAGCCTTCCTGACGGGAACAGACCCTCAAATTGTGCCGATCCTCTGGCCTCCGCCTTCCGAGTGCTGGATGACAGGTGCGCACCACCATGCCTTCCCAGCCCAGGAATCCTGCGGAGGCGTTTGCCTCCTCGGGCTCACCCGAGTCGCCCTCTTTTCTTCTCCCTACCCTGCCATGCTGGTCCAGCGCGTACCTGGCCAGACTCCTCCCCACCCCTCCCCTTGTCACCCAGCTTCTGCTCCTACGAGGAAGCCTCCGAAAGCACACTGGGGCTCAATTCTGGGCCTACGACCTCCTTCCGGGGACAGGGTGCAGCTCAGTGACAGCAGCAGCTGAGCACTCACAAAGCCCTGGGTTCCGTCACCAACAGCACAAAAACCAAACCAAACCAAACAGCCTGGTTTGGGGGTGCCCACCTGTCTTCCCAACACTCGGGAGCCTGAGGCAAGAGGATCACCAGGAATTTGAGGCCAGGAATATATAGCAAAACCCTCTCCCAGAAATAACCAAGAGGGCCAACAAGATAGCTCTGCAATCTAAATCACCTGCGTAGGCAAGCTTAGGCAGGGGCAGGGGACCACAGTTCAATCCCAGACGCCACATGTGGCGCTAGCCCCGCCCTCAGGGGAATGAACAGGCCAAAAAAGAAAAAAAACAAACAAACAAAAAAAGAAGCAGAGAGAGGTGTGAGAGACTCTGCACACTGACCCCCACCATGCTGTGTGACTCCAGGCAGACTGCCATCCCTCTCTGATCCTCACCTTCCCTGCCAGAGCAAGTAGAGACACCTGGACCTGCGTCATATTCCCGCTCTCGAACAGGTCATTGGCCTCAAATAGGTCCACAGGGTTCATGCCATAGCTGACCATGGCCTTGATGAAGTTGGAGAGGTTTTCTAGCTGGGAAGAGGCAGAAGAGCATGAGTGACCTCACTCTGCTCTGTCCACGGGTGCCAGGGCCACCCTTCTCCCTCCCCAGCGGTACCTCACCTGGTGCCAGTTCTGCATGGAACGGTTGATCTTGGGGACCGAGCCTGGCTGCAGCTTGTTCATGAGTCTGGGGGTACAGGGGTGGAGCCTCCTTCAGTGCAGGAGCCTCAGAGCCTTCGTCAAGACCTCACCTAAGTGCCTGCCTCCTGAGAAGTCAGGCTGCCTCTCCTCGCTTAGCTGTCTGGCTGTCTGTCTGTCCGTCTGTCCTATAGACCTAGGGATGGAACCCAGGGCCTTGATACTGAGTTGCATCCCCAGCCTTTTTTTTTTTTTTTTTTTTTTTCTTTTTTTGTGATATGGGGGATCAAACTCTGGACCTTGCACTTGCCAGGAATAGTGCCACTAAGATATATCCCCAGTCCCAGCCCTTTTATATTTATTTATTTATTCCCCTTATTTATTTATTTTTAATGTATTTAGTATGGGGTCTACAGGGTCTCACTACACAGATCCAACTCAGTGATTCTCCTGTTTTCAGCCTCCCAAGTGCTGGGATTATAGGCACAAGCCACCACGCCCAGTCTCCATCGTCTCAGCGCACTCCAGGAGCGGGGCCAGGACCATACAAGGGCCGCTGGATTTTTTTTTTTTTTTTTGGCGGAACCGGGGATTGAACTCAGGCCCTTGTGCTTGCCAGGAAAGCACTTATTCCAGTGAGCCATCTCCCCAGCCCCCAGGACCATACATGGAATGAAACCCCAGCTGCTATGCTCTGCCTAAAGAGGTGCTTTAGTCCCTAAGGTATGTGGCCATCCCCTTCCAGCCCTTTTAAAAATTTATTTATTTTTGAGACAGGGTCTTGCTAAGTCACTAAGTTGGCCAGGCTGGGCTCAAACTTGTGATCCTCCTGCCTTGGCCTCCCAGAGTGCTGGGATGGCAGCCTGGACCACACCTGGCTCTGTCACCATTTTTAATATCCCTAACTGTGTAAGTCTGAGTAATGGCTCACAAAATGGGCAGTGTAAGGTTGGGATGTTCACTGCTGAAGATGCCAGACAGGGCAATAAGACAAACAAAAGCCCAGTGCAGCGGTGTCACATGCCTGTCATCCCAGCTACTCCGCAGAAGGATGTGGAGTTTGAGTCCTGCCTGGGCAATGTAGCAAGACCCTGTCTCAAAAAAAGTTTCAGTAGACTGGTGAGTGTCAGCCTAGTGTGTGCTAGGGGCCTAGATTCCATCCTCCACTCTGCAAAAAGAAAAGAAAAGAAAAACAAAGACAAGAGAAAGAGAAAGGCACAACACCACTTAGTGGCAGCCAGAGCCACGCCCACTCACGTGCACAGGATGACTCCGTCCTTCAGGCCCTTCTGGAAGTCGGGGCCGATGGCGAGGCCCGTGAGGCCCTCAATCCAGCTGCGAAGCTCGGCCTCCTTCTGCGGGTTGTACTTGGACAGGAGCTGCAGGGGCAGAGGGTGAGGGCTCAGAGGGCAGCCAGACTCCAGGGCGGGAAGAGACAGACGACCCCACAGGCCCCGGCCCTCCCAAGCACACTGGTTCACAACGCAAAGTAGCTTTGAACAAGCTTTCCTAGACCTGAGCCAGGCAGGTGGCACCCGTCTGTCTCCCAGCACTATGGAGGCTGAGACAGGAGAGCTGCAAGTTAGAGACCAGTCTGGGCAACTTAGTGACTTAGAGACCTCACCTCAAAATAAAAAAATAAAAAGGGTCTGGGGTGCAGCTCAGTGTGAAGGCCTCGGGTTCCACCCCCAGGGTACAAGCCAGTGACAGTCAGTATGTTTGTTCACAATGATGTGCAGCCGCCACCTCTACTTCCAGATATTCTGTCACCCCAAAACAAACTCTGTCCCATGAGCAGTCACCCAGCCCCTCCCAGCCTTGTACCAAGAGGCTGCTTCCTGTCTCTGGGTTCGCCATGGTATTTCCCATATTTCCTGTCTGTGGAGTCCATGCTGTGTGTCCTTCTTTTTTTTGGTACCAGGTCTCACTCTGTAGCCTAGATTGGCCTCACCCATGGTGAGCCTTCTGCAGTCAGCTTGATTGCTGGGATGACAGGTGTTATGGCTTATGTCTAGATGTCCCCTGAGAGCCTCATAGAGTCAAAGGTGGGAGATTACTAAATCAGTCCACTGATTGGTCTGGAATAGCTCCCAGTAGGATTAAGGTTGCCCCACGCTGGGTGTGAACGCTACCCACTCTAAGAGTAGCCTGGACAGGGGGCACAGGGGCCAGGGGTTCGATCCCTGGCAGGCTGTACTGGCCCTGCCCCCAGGGTGCACTGAGGACTGAGATTGGGCGTGGTGGCACAGGCCTGCAATCCCAGCGCTTGGAGGAAGATCACTATGCCTCTGATTTGTGTAGTGAGACCCTGAAGACTCTGTACTAAATACATACAAAAGAAAAGATATAAGGGGCAGAAAGAGGGTCGCGGCTTGTCACATGCTGCTTGCTGCCTCTGCCTGCCCTGCATCACCATGAACTGTTTTTCCTCTACAATGCCCCCCCTGTTCCCACCCTGCCACGGAGGGGCCAGCGGACTATGGACAGAACCTTCTAAGAGCTGTAAGCCAAATAAACCTTTCCTCCTTTAACTTCGGTTGTTGAATATTTTGTCTCAGAAAAGTAAGACAACAGTAGTGTGGTGCTTGCCCTGGAACCCTGCACTTTCTTGCAGTCCCCTTCCAAGCAGTCAAGAGATTCCCACTCCTGGGTGCTGCAGGTCCTACTGCTATAAACCCAGACACAGGTAGTGTCTGGCCACCTGTCTTCTGTCTCTTGTATGTGTCCCAAAACAGCAGGTCCTGTGGGGGCTCTATCAAGCCTCCAGCTTGCATGTATGCTCCTTGTGGCCTTTATCTCCACCTTCCAGTATGCTGTGTATCTTCTTGCTTATAGTATGTCCTTGGGCCCCACGGCACACACCTGTAATCCCTATACTAGGGAGGCTGAGGCAGGAGGATCTCAAGTGGAAGCCCAGCCCGAAGAATTTAGTGACTGAGCCCTAACACTGGCCTGGGGACGCACTCAGCTAGAAAGCCCTGCTTTCAATCCCCAGAACTGTGCTACTAAATAAATAAACAGAAGCCCAGTAGTGACTGCAGACCCCAGCCTTCCTCCCACAGTGGAGAGATGGATCCCTTCCTCCCCTCCCTGCTCGCCAGGGAAGGACTCAAGCAGCACCCTTCCCAGGCCCAATTCCTCTGCGCCCAGCTCTCCCTGACCAGGGACAGATGCCTCTAGTCTGAGCCTCAGTTTCTGTATTCCCCAGTGGAATTACTGCACAGCAGGTGTGTGCACGTGTGGGGAGGAGGCAGCGAGGGGAACTACTGGGGGTTAAAGCGCAGACCTTTGAACTGAGCCCCTTTTTATTCTTTATTTCCACAGAACATCTCGCTGAGTTGCCAACCTGTCCAACCTAGGCTCCAGCTTTGGACCCTCATGCCTCAGCCTCCTTAGCCATGAACCTGGGATGTCGCCCATGAAGCATCATGCCGACCTGCGCAGGCATCGGTTCTCCTTACAGGTGCCCCACTTCCTGCTTCTTGCTCTAAACCTGGGGCCCAGGATTAGTGTCTACACAGAGGACAAAAGCAAGCGGACAGCCTGACCGGCCCAGCCCCCCTGGGTTCCCACAGCCTGCTGGCGGCCGCGCAGTGCGCGCAGTGTGCCTGGGGTGGCGGCTCTACAGACTCAGGTCCAGGCCCCGCCCGACCCGCAGCGGTCACCTCCCTCTGCCCGCCCGTCGGCGCATTCCAGCTGCCCTCAAACTGCCAGGAATGTGGCCCTGGCCTCCAAGGCTAAATTGAGACCAGCTGTTCCCAGCGGCCCGGACCCCCGGCGGGAACGCACTGCGCGGCTGCGCAGCTTCCCTGAGCATGGCCAGCCTGCCATGGGGAAATTGAGGCATAGGCATCCCGCGGAGGCCTCTGGGTCCCAGGCTCGAAGCAGCTGTAACGACCTCGGGCTGTGCGCTGGAAGCCACGGAAGGCTCGTTTCCAAAACAGGGTGCGACCTGCGGGTGACCCCAGGCGGCGTGCCACGCCCACCCACGGCCGCGCCCTCCCTCGGGCTCGGCGGGCTGAGGGCTGGCGGTGGCTCCCTGGGCAGAGCGGCGGACCCCTCTCTGTCCCCCGGGCCGTCCCCCCCACTCTGCTACCCAGCTGGGCCAGGTCTTGGCTCCGCCCCCAGGATGCTGTGTGGTTCTAAGTAGTCCAGTTCCCTCTCTGGGCTCTTCACCTGCCCATGTGTCCGGGAAATGCGCCCCCAGTTCTGAGACGGCATCCGAGGCTTGCAAGCCACTCCGACACCCCGTCCTCGCCCTCCCCTTGCCGATGTGACTCCAAGAGGCCGGGGACAGAGATGGATGGAGGGCAGGGCTGAGCAGACCAGTGTCCTCTGCGTGCCCGGACAGGCCTCCTGTGACATCACATTCCCAGGTGCCTCTGGGTGTGTGCCCCCCCCCCAGAGATGACAGCCACCTCTGCCATGGACCCCTTCCCGCCCCCTCCTTGTCGCGCCCCGCTCTGAAGTCAGCACCAGCTCTGCTCGGAAAGATGCTCTGGTGTGCGGCCCTCAGCGTGTGTCTGCTCCTCTCCGTTCCGGGACCGGGAGCGCTTTCTGTCTTTACTTTTTTTTAGTACTCCCCGCCCCCCCCACACACACACCAGCCCTTTTCTATTCTGGGAAAAGTTCATACTTCGCTAAGGCTGGGCCTGACTGTGGTCCTCCTGCCTCAGCCTCCCAGAGTGGTGAGAGGACGGGCCTGCGCTAGCTACGAGCCCCACCAAGAAACGCTTTCTGCAAAACGCATCTCCCCCCACCCCCGGCAGTTTCCAGGTGACAAACTCTGCGCATACCGAGGGGACCCGTCGCTGCCTTTAAACTATGAGATGGGGAATAAGTGCGGAGGGGACCTGAGCCCGTGGCCCCCCACCCCAGGTGTGAGCGGCAGGAAATTTCGCGGGGAGCCGCCGCACGCTCTCCAAAACCACCAGCTCCGCCCTCTTCCCCTCGCAAACACGAGCACATCAAAAGCAGAAGTGATAGGGAAGGAACTGCTGGGGTCCCCCTAGACCCTCTGGGCTTCATTGGGACTCGAACCGTCAGGAGTCCCCGAAGTGGTGGCGCTGGGCAGGGGCTAGGATGCAGGAGGTTAGGCCGGCCCCTCCTGAAGGCTGGGGATGTGAGTGGTCACTCCCCCTCCTGGCCCAGACCTCAGACCCAGGCGCTCCCCAGATCTCCCGGAGTCTCAACCCCCAACTCCCCAGAGGTCGGGGGCAAGGGGACAGGGGTCTCTCTGTTCCCCACGGTGGCCGACGTCCCCAAGGGCTGCTACATAGTTCTGAGCCCCGACTCACCCGGTTCTTGACCTCGGCCGAGAGCCCGTACGAGGGTCCCTTGTTGAACTGCGTGGAGCTCATGGCTGGGACGCGCGGGCGACAGGACACCAGCCGGCCGACGGGACGGACCCGGGCTGGGACCCGGGCGGGCGGGGCGGGGCGGGGCGGGG